AAATAAATAATTAAAAAAAATTTTAAATGAAAGGATAACTACCATTATGAAACATAAAACAGTAGAGCAAATAATATAAAAGAGAAAGAGAATCAAACCCTATCAATATAGAAAGCCACCAATCCACAAAGACGAACAAGAGAATTAGAACAGATATATAAAGGGAGTAGAAAAAAATTAAAAGAATGACAGGAGTATGTCTTTACTTATGAATAATATTCTTGAATGGATTTTTTTTTTGTTTTTGTTTGTTTTTTGCTTTGGTACTGGGATTGAACTCAGGACCTTGCACTTGCAAGGCAGGCGCAGTGCCACTGAACTATAACCCCAACTTTTGAATGCATTTTTAGAAACAAGGTCTCATTGAGTTACCCATGCTGTTCTTAAGTTCCAGTGATCCTCCAGCCTCAATGTACTGAATGCTAAACTATCAGTGTGTGCCACCATGCCTGGTTCATAAGCTTGAATGTAAAATATTATAGTCCCCAATTAAAAGGTACATATTGGCTGACTGGTGAAAATAAAACCAAATATGTGCTGCCTAAAACAAACTCACTTCACCAGTAAAGATACACATGCAATGAAAGAGAAGAGATGGAAAAAGACAAACTATATATATGAAACTAAAGAGAGCAAATTAGCTATACTTCTCCAACTAAAGCTTCAACTCAAAAACTGTAAAAAAGGACAAAGGAGGTCATAAAATAATAACAAAAGGACAATTTTAACAACAGAAAATACTTGTAAATATTATTTTCTCCAAAGCTGGAGTACATGGTTATATAAAGCAAACATCAGACCTAAAAGGAGAGATGAATTCTAACATAATGATACTCTGGAACCCAAACATCTCACTTATGTCAATCAAGAGGAAAGAGGAGGAGAAGCAGCAGCAGCACAGCTGAAAGGCAGGAGTCATCATGTAATACGGAGGAGTGATATCTTTCTATCACTCAGTATAGCTTTGAGCTTTGATCAAACAACTAAATTAATGAAAATGGTTTGGGTCCAGGGAAGGAAAGTGAAATACAGAGGTCAAGAATTTTTGGCTGTTTCACTTGAGCCATGACAATGACATCCCTAATGGTTCTCTACCTTCCTCCTGACCCTTTTATGACATCAAGTGGACACAAGTAAAGTTTAGAATAATTTTTTGTCCAAGAATTCTCATTATGGAGTGTTTGAGAATGGGTCCTTCTTAAGTCAGGCTGTAGCATGTTATCTTGTTGCTGTTAGTGACTCTTTTTCAAGGGATATGTTGTGAGAATTTCTATATTATCAAATAATCATACCCAGGAACCTGACAACGTTCAGAGGACTGGAGAAAAAGTAAAAAAAAGTTGGCACAGGATACCCCGCAAAGCCTCATGCACTCATACGTGTGGATTGGGGGATATGACTGGATCACAGAGGCATGATACTTATCAGTGGATTAGTACACTGATGAGTTTATAGCTAAACAGGATTTGGGAGGTGAAGCCTGGTTGGAGGAGGTATATCACTGGGGACATGACCTGGAAGGGTATATCTCTCTCCCTCCTCCCTTGATCCACCTCCCTGCTTCTCACAAGTAATAAACTATTTCTCTTCTGCCATACCCCTCTGCCATGCTGCCTGGCCTGGGAACCAGCTGACTATGGGCTGAAACTGCTACAAATTGTGAGCCAAAATAAATCTTTTCTCCTTTAACTTGCGGGTGTTGGGTATTGTGTCTCAGCAACAAAGAAAGTAACTAAGGCATTTCTGTCCACAGGAGAAAATATGAGATACAGTGTACTCCTGAAATTCATGGGGATTACATTCCTATAACACCTGCAAACTGTGATAAACTGCAAATTTCAGATATGGTCAGAAAAATGCCTATATTTATAGTTCAAACCCTAAATATGCTATGTATCGCCAAATTATGTAATTTAATAAAATACTGTAATAACAAAGCCTTAGAAAGTGCAGGGCATTTTGGTGGCATCTTAGGGATCTTAGGGCTTTAAGAAGAACAAAACCGAGAACACGTGAGATAGCTAGATGCATTACAGAAACCTGTTATGATGTGGGAATGCTGGTGCATCTTCCAAAGATGTGTTATAGGGCAGCAGCCAATCATCAATGAGGAGAAGTGAATAATGCTCTTGGATTGGCTACTTGCAAACCTTCTGCCAGAAAACCAGTTGTGACAATTCCCAATTAAAAAAAAATATATATATATATATATATATATCTTAAATCTGTATAAATGTTTATTATAGTTGACAATAAGGGGTTCTTAATGTGAAATAATATGACTAGTCATACAACTTATGTTAAAAGATGTGCATGCACTGGAAAACTATTACATGAAAGAGGTAAATGTGCAAGAAGTTCAAGACATAGAAAGAGAGAAACCTAGTGCAAATATCCCTGGGTCTACAGAAAGCATTTCAACACATCCTATAGGAAGTGTGAAATATGGTGCTGTCTATATGATCAATGGTCCAAATCTTCGAAAGTATAAGGGCCATATATTTTTCAGTGGGTGTCTGTGCTGCTAAGAATGCAACCATAATCTATACCAAATTTTTCAGTTCTTGTGGCTCATGAGGTTGGCCCCAGCATAATATACTAATTTATCTTATAAGTGTTAGGGCCAGAACCTCTGTACAATGTAATGAATTCATTATTATAAAAGTGAGCTTCAGTAATTCAGCTTCCACTACTCTCAACAGCTGTTATATAAACACAATGGGTACTTGTTTAATAATTCTGAGCTCCAAAGCTCCTCTGGGAAGCCATTTTGTAAAAACAAGATAGTGAATAAAGAAGAATATGACTGTGGCAGCTTCAATGTCAGAATGATCACTGTTATCTGCTCTCATGCTGACTAAAAAAGGGTTCATATTATGTATTTGGATCCTGATGCAAAAAATATAAATTTCTAAAAGAACTACATATTTCTACTTCACAGTAGATGAGTATGACCTTTCAGTACTGTAATGGCACACCCACATGATGCCAGGCAGTTACACACAAGCAAGGTGGTAAAGAACAAAGTTATGGTTACCAGGACCAGTATAGAAACCTGGACAATCAGTGCAGTAAAATCTGTGGAAAGAGCACAATCATTGCCTGGAAACATTGTCATTATTACTAATGGGACAAGTTTGGAAACTATGTCCATGAGCCCAAAAGAATGTGAAAGGTCTTCAGCAAATACAAGGGCAAAGATGTAAAATATGAAGACTGCTATGCAAAAGTATTCAAGGCTCTTACATACTGAAAAAATTAAAAACGTACCTAATTTTTAAGAAAGACATCAGGTATGTCAGTATAGAGATTTCTGAAGCCTTAGACAGGGCTGACAAAGGGGAGGTAAAAGATTGCAGTTTATGTGATCCATGGGAAATCTGTATCATCAAACCTACTTAGATATCATTGCACTTCACTACAACTATAACTTGGAAAAGTGTCATGGAAGGAACGTTTGCAGCAATTTTAAGAACTCCTTGTGTGTCTATGGGTATGTCTTTCCTAGTTTGAACAGTGACCCAGCTCTACATATCCCTTGACTCTCAGTATGAGAAAAAATTGATAATCCTTATTTGGGTCTTGTTGAGACTCTTATTATTTCTTGTTCCTATTATCTTTTTGTCTGCCTACATCCACAGAATATCTAAAACCAATATCAATGAAAATAAAAAACTCACCAAAACAGCAAGATACTGCTCTTTACAAGCATTTGCTGATTACCTTCTTTCGGGTAATAGAGACCAATACAAAATAATACTAAAAGAATCTTTTAAGAATTAGACTTCTGGGCTCAGTGGTGCCTCCACCTGCCTTGCAAGCACAAGGTTCCAAGTTTGATCCCTGGCACCAAAAAAAAAGAATTGGACTTCTTAGGTCTGGCCCCCTTCCAGGACTATGGAGATAGGCATTCTTTTTTGCGTCAGTCTATTTTTCTATTTTCTATATTTTTGGTACTGGGGATCGAATTTGGGTCCTTGTGCTTGCAAGGCAGGTGGCGGAACCACTAAGCTAAATCCCCGGCCCTGAATGCTTTTGTTTTTAAATTAAAAATAAATCAAAGCAGCTCCCCCAGTGAGATGATCTTTCTTATTCTGTGCTACCCTGAAATCAGGTTCCAAAGCAGAGCTTTGGGATAATGAGAAACCTCAAGATGTGATCTTGACAGAGTAAGGCCAGGTAGCCCTCCATAATGTCTATGAAGTACATGCCCTAAAAATTCAAGAGCTATTACTGAGTTACCTAACATTTCTACAGAACTCCTTTGGAAAGAACTTCAGAATTTACTATTCAGAGCATCCTGTTTAATCTGGTCAATTTCTCTAATATTAAAGATTTTACCTTGGAAAGAGTTTATCATGAGAGAATTATCTGCTTATTAGTTCCAATGTTTTGGTTAATTATCATTTCAGCCATATTGTCCATTTAGCTTTCCCTTTTTTTGGCAGTATGGTACATGATGCCCAGATCTTAAATTGGCCTTGTTAATATCTTAACTGGAGAGATCAAATATATTTGTTATATGATTTGAGAGAGAAAAAACAGGTTAGACAGGCATTCCTGCCTCTTAATGATGCTTTGTAATCTGGAAACTTTTTCATTTCCAAAAGGTTCAAATTGTAACTCTTAGTCATTCATCATCACTTGCTCATCCATCCTGTTTGGCACTTGCTGTTAGGGTGGACCATGTGAACCATTTTTACTTATAATAATAGTAAGTTAATATAGGTCAATCTAATTTTACATGTCCGGGTATCAGAAAACCAATCTTGGAATTCTGCTTGCAAATGATTACTGATTCATAAAAGGTTTTTTAAATTTCAATTTCCCTTAAATTTTATTAACCTTGTGACTTCAAAAGATTGGCCTTAATTTCTAGTACAGGATTTTCCTTTTGTTCAAGTGCTAAAACAGATCTAAACATATGAAACTGGGATAAGATGTGTCTAAGGGTCCCACTGTCACTTTTTAAAATAATTGTTTCCTTAAGTGCTTCTGAGTTTCAAAATTCTTCTAAGAAAAGAAACCCAGATTCCACGTTCAGTCTCAGAGAATGCAACAGCAATCTCAAGACCTGAGCAAATTGCTACATGTTCCCCTCCTTGCACTGCAACCATGGAGTAGTCTGGAAAGGACATATATATAAATAATAACCTGGAATTTATTTTTTTCTAGAAGAGACTTAGACAAATCTAATATCCATCATAGTAGTGTGAGTCTAACTCTGAGATAGAAAGTATCTTTATCTCTATGAACAGAGTATAACTGGAAAGATCTTTCTCAATTCACTTAGAATAGCTTCTAACTCTAGCACTACATTCATTTCAGTTCTGAAGTCTATAGTATGCTCAGAAAAGATGTATAATGTGCCCTCCCACAACATTCTTCTCAGTCCATTAGTGTGAAATAACTCAAGTTCCTGAATGTTCCAGTATTATAGTTTCAAAGGATGGTGGAAGAGCTGGTAGCAAAAGCAACAGTAGAATCCAATGGCTCTAGGCCTCTGCTATAGGCTCTCTTCTGTGAGCATAACAATGGTGTTTGCGTATGTGCATCTCGCCGAGCCTCTTGCTTTAGTTGGTGGAATTTGTGCTGTGTCCAGCCATATACTCCACAGTTGAGCAGACCCTGGGATGTTGCTGTTAGAGCCTGGAGGAGATGAAGGGGTGATGGGCCCATCCTTCAGGTTTGCAGGGATTCAAGAATAATACTCTTTACCCTTTTTTTGAGACAGGGTCTTCTTATGCAGTTTAGGCTGGCCTTGAACTCACTATGTAGCCCAGGCTGGTCTCAAACTCGTCAGTCCTCCTTTCTCTGCCTCCTGAGTGCTGGGATTATAGGTGTGTACCACCATGTCCAGCTTGTTGGACAGCTTTGGACTACAGATGACTAAGATTTAGTCATATTCCTTAGTATACACAAAAGGTCAATGAAGTGGCTTCAATGCCCCTCTTATTGACCCATTTCTCAGAGAAAACTGCCCTATCAGCTAGACAGTCCAAAAGTCCCAAACTGCTCTATACTTGAATAGTCTAAAAAGCCTTCTTCAGTCTGATAAAGGAATAAAAGAAGAATCATGCCATTATCCCTCTTTCTCTAATAACTGCTAATTTATTCCATTTAATTTTCTACCAGATTATGTCCTGGTAGATATTGCATTTTTATTTTTACTGCTTCCAAAACACATCAATAAAACAAAGTTGACCAGTGATATATATGCTCTGGAGTGCACTGTAGTACTTCTACTAAAGCATCTACCTTGCCTCTGAGAAAATTTTTATAGTTTTTGTAACTGGGCATTTCATAAGCGAGCAAACAGAACATAATTATGTTACCTTTTGCAATGTATAAATAAATATTTTTAGAAGATAAAATTGTGCTTATTGAGTACTGGAAGTATAAGTGAATAGAATAAGAGAGTATAAGAACAGAAATTCTTAGTTTTGAAGGTGTTACCTGGAGAATATAGAAGGTCATATGCAGCTTGGTGTCCTGTGGCTTGGTGAGCTTTATGATCATCAGGATGATAGCTGTAAATACACATTGTGTAAATTTCGTTGTTAGTTCTTATTGCCTCATGTATAAAGTTCTCAAGTACACATGCCTGGGCATTATTAGAAGGGAAGCTATAGGCATATCGAAAACCAGCAGTGAGATTAACCAGTTATGTAAACCACTGGGCCTTTCACCTCTGACTTCTACTTCTTATTGATTAAACTTTATAGATTGTTAGTGCGGTAGTGATGACAATTTATACTATAGGAAGATAATCATTTACACGTCTTAGCATTTCAGAATTTATAAAGCTCTTTCATAAAATTGTCTAATATTATTTTTACAACAAACTCATATAGTAGGAAGGGCAGGTATTAATATCTAAGTCCAGTCAGGACATTTTCCCTCTTATATCAGGTTGTGTCTCGTGATTAATTAATTTCTAAAGAAGAAAAAGTAGTTAGGGGGATTGAGGAAAACTGGAAATATGGTGGGGCCAACATAAATTTCATAAGCTGGATGGATATTTGTAGTCATCCATTTGGTAAGATCATTTTGCTTGATTAGAAATGAACATTTGCTCTCTTTCTAATAAGGTACTCACCTGGACCCCAGCAACATAGGAAGGCCACTGGATAGAGGCGTACTCGCTGCTCCACAATGTGAATCACTGCCCACTGTTCACTTCCCAGAAAGCCAGTTGATTTCACAAATTTCTTATACAGTATTTGGGCTTGGATGAGTAAGACCTAAGGATGAGTGTAGCAATGAGCAGTTTGCCTAACGCTTATTAAAATTTCCTATCATTTTACAAGATCTTTCTCTAAGCATCTCACAACAGGAAAGACCATTCTGTTTTTACCATCTGCAACTAAACTTTTTTTTTCTTTTTTGGGGATCAAACTTGGGACCTTACGCTTGCCAGGCAAGCAGCAGTACCACTGTGCTAAATCCCCACATACACCCCTTTTTGAGAGAGAGAGAAAGAGAGGGGGGAGAGAGAGAGAGAGAGAGAGAGGGAGAGGGAGAGAGAGAGAGAGAGAGAGAGAGAGAGAGAGAGAGAGAATTGCTCAGAGTGAACTTATACTCGGGCAAGGAAATTAACAGATACTAGTCAAACTCATGTTCAATACATGAACTGTACATCAACCCTGTAAACCACCCCCAGGCTAATAACAATATATACAGGAAGTTAAAAATAACTTCTAATCCAACCCTTTTTAAAAATTTTTATTAGAGATTCTGTTACAAAGTGCTTTGCACTTAATACCTTTAAATATCTTAGTACTATAGCTTAAATTCTCAACTCTTAGCAAAAGGAAGTTTTAGAAAATCTTGCCCTTAAATAAAAAAATGGATTATTTTCTTCTTTCATTTGCTAGCATTTTGAATAAGGTTCAGGTTATGAAAGAAATAGAAATCAGTTCAGAAGTCCAGAATGGTTTTATTTATTTTTTTTTTTGGTACTGGGAATCAAACTCAGGACTCTGTGCTTCTGAGGAAGGCAGTGGCACTACTGAACTAAATGCCCAGCCCTTGTGAGGAGTAAACAGGAAATAATCTTTGGTAAGCAAATCTTACCAAATCTGGATTTTTTCCCCTAATAATATAGATCCATTCTCTAATAACCCAACCGCCTAATCAAGCTCAGCCATAGTCTTCTTTCCACACAGACAGAAGGATCAAAAGGAGGCTTGAGTGTATTTGAGAATGTTTATGTCTAGAAAAATCAGTGAACCATTTGTTGATTTATTCTTTTTTTCCCCCTGATATTGGGGGTTGAACTTAGGACCTTGCATTTGCAAGGTAGGTATGGTGCCACTGAATTGAATCCCGGGCCAGATGTTGATTTATTCTTCCTGCGTTTCATCCTGTCTTTTTTAGTATCTGTTTTTTGTTTATTTATTTTTGGTACCACAGATTGAGCATTAGGACCTGTAAGAGTCATATCCTTAGCTTTTTAAAAAATTTTTGAGACAGGGTCACACTAAGTTGTCCAGGCTGGCCTTAAACTTGCAATTTCCCCCCAGCCTTCCAAGTAGCTGGGTTACAGGTGTGGGCCACTGTGCCCACCACCATCTATTGATTTTGAAAGAATCCAGAATGCTATTTCTGAATGCTCATTGAAACCTGGGCTAGTCTACCCAAGCAAGCAATAATCTTCAGGGTGACAGCCTTCGGGGATCCATCTATCTTACCAATAGGTTCTAAAAAGTAAGCCATCAAAGACATTTTAAAATAAACTCTTTTTTTTTTTCTTTTAAAGACAGTTTCACTACGCAGTCCAGGCTGGCCTTGAACTCATTAGTAGAACAGCCTGGCCTTGAACTCTTAGTGATCCTCCTGCCTCAGCCTCCCAAGTGATGGGATTAAAGGTGTGCACCATCATGGCCAGCTCACTAATTACTCTTTACAAAGCTGATGATTTGAGCTAAGCTTAAACTTACTTTTGAATTATCAAAGGAAATTACCCCATAATTGCATGTGATTTATAGGTGTTGGAAAACAAAACATTGTTAGGATAAATTTGGTCTGTAGGTAGATTGTAACTCTTTAACTGAATATAAGAACAGGAGAGGAGAAAATGGTACTGAAAATTAAGTAGATATGGAAAATAAAAAAGGCACATCTGCTTGTTTACTACTTTTGTACTAGTATAACATATCATCTGGCTGATTATTTTAATTCTACATCACTCTGGTGGTACCAAATGAGTACTCCATGTCATAACTGCATGAGTTACTTAACATTTTAACCAGTTAACATAAATGCAAACTAATGGATAAAAATAATTTAAAACACACATTATTTGGAAAATTACATCAAAGCATATATACTATGTATCAGAATGCCATCCTGTATAAAAGACACACTTGAAAATGTGAAAAAAGGAAAAAGTGGAAACAAGGTCTTTGTAAATAGGGAAGGGTGAAATGGGTGAAGGGAGGGCAGGGGTATGGGGAAAAAACAAGAACCAAAACATACCATGTAAAGGTACAAGATCCCAATGATAAATGTAACTGTATTGTTTGCTTTAAATGTACCAATTAAGTTAATGGGAAAAATAAAGATATACTTGAGCTGGGTGTGATAGTACACACCTGTAATCCCAGCACTTGGGAGACAGAGGCAGGAGGAATACCTTGAGTTTGAGGCCAGCCTTGACTCACAGTGAGTTTAAAACCAGCTAAATTACAAAACAAAACCTTGTCTCAAAATACATAAATAAATAACCTTGGGCTGGGGATTTGGCTCAGTGGTTCCAGCGCCTGCCTCGCAAGCGCAAGGATCCAAGTTCGATCCCTGGTACCAAAAATAATAATAAAAATAAAAATAAATAAATAACCCTAAGTAGACAAAAGTCACATGATTGTTTCAGTAAACACAGAAAAAGCATCTGACAAAGTCAATACCCAATCATGATAAAAACCCTACAGAAAAATTGGAATAGATGGTCTTTATCTCAATCTAATGAAAGACATCTATGACAAACCAACAGCCAACATCATACTAAATGAACAAAAACTGAAAGCTTTCACTCTAAAATCAGGAACAAGAACAGGATGCCCACACTATCATCATTCTTGTTCAATAGAGTTCTGAAAACATTAGCTAGAGCAATTAGATAAGAGAAAGAAATAAAAGGAATATGGATAGGAAGGAAGAAGTTAAAGTATAATTATTTGTTTATGACATAATATTCTACAAAGAAGACCCCAAAAACTCTACCAAAAAACTCTTAAATCAATACCCCAATTCAGTAGCATAGCAGAATACAAAGTCAACACTCAAAAATCAATAGCATTCTTATACATGAATAACAAACTTACTGAAAGAGAAATCAGGGAAACACCTTTCACAATAGAATCAAGAAAAATGATATACTTAGGAATCAGTCTAGGGAGCCAAGTCAAAGACCTTTACATTGAAAACTACAGTACTAAAAAAGGAGATTAAAGAGGATATAAAAAAATGGAAATGTATCTCATTCTTGGATAGGCAGAATTAATATAGTAGAAATGGCCATACTTCCATGACTATGATACAGATTTAATGTAACTGCAATAAAAATACTAATAACACACCTCATAGATTTAGAGAAAAGAATCCTAAAATTCATATGGAAACAGAAAAGTCCTAAAATAACAAAAGCAATACTGGGCAACAAGGGTAAGACAGGGCAAAGCCACAGTGACAAAAACAGCATGGTGCTGGCAAAAAAAAAAAAAAAAAAAAAAAAAAAAACAGGGTGGGAGAAAAAAAAAAAAAAAAAAAAAAAAAAAGACTCAAGGATCAATGGAACAGAACAGAAGGTGCAGAAACAATTCCAAGCATGCTCAGTCATCTTGTATTTCATAAAGGGGCCAAACACCTTCATTGGAAGAAATATAGTCTCTGTAATAAATGGTGCTGGAAAAACTGGCTTTCCACATGCCAAAGATTAAACTTAGACCCATATCTTTCATATGTAAACTAAAATTGAAATGGATCAAAGATCTAAATATTAAAACAGAAACAATCTGCTGGGAGATAGAATAGGTAAAACTCTTTTTTTTTTTCTTTTTTTTTTTTTGGTACTGGGGATTGAACTCAGATCCTTGCCCTTGCAAGGCAGGTGGTGGAACCACTGAGCTGGATCCCTGGCCCCAAATTAGGCAAAACACTTGAAGACACAGTTGTTAGAAAAGACTTTGTGAACAAAACTCCAATCACATAGGAAACCAATAACTGGAATCACATCAAATTAAAAAGCTTTTGCACAGTGAAAAAGAAAATCAACAGAGTGAAAAGACAGTCCACAGAATGGGAAAATTTTTTTTTACCAGCTATTCCTCAAAGGAGTAGCACAGAATGGGAAAATCTTTTTTAACAGCTATTCCTCGAAGGAGTAGCTAGAATCTATAAGAAACTCAAATAAATCATACCCCTCAAATTAAGAAACCCAATCCATGGGGCCAGGGATTTAGCTCAGCGGTTTGGTGGCCTGCCTTGCAAGCGCAAGGACCCGAGTTCAATCCCCCATGGGTATCTGAAATAGATATGTCTCAGATGAAGTACAAACAGCAAATAAATATTGAAAAAATATTCAACTGACTTATCATTTGAAAAGTGCCAATTAAAACACCACTGAGATTCTAATTCACTCCAGAAAGAAGAGTTATCATAAAGAAATCAATATCAAATGCTAACGAGGCTGTGGGAGAAAAAGGAACCTTTCTCAATTGTTGATGGGAGAGTAAATTGTTACAACCACTATGGAAATCAGTATGGGGAGTCCTCAAAAAACTAAAACTAGAGGTTCTGTTTGACCCAGCTATTCCCCTTCTAGGTATCTTCGCATAAGAGTTAAAAGCATCATACTACAGTGACACATGCATACCCACGTTCACAACAGCACAATTAACTAAATCTTGGAAAAGCCCACATGCCCATCGAAAGATGAGTAGATAAAGAAAAGGTGGTATTTATATACAACAGAGTATTACTGTGCTATACAGGAAAACTTCAGTCATATATAGGAAAATGGATGCATCTTGAGATTATAATCTTAAGTGAAATAAATCAGATACATAAGTTTAAATACTGTATGGTTCCTCTTAGGGTAAATAAGCAAAATGGAAGCCAGATATTGGAAGTAGGAAGGACATATTCTAATGGGAAGGAGAATAAGGGGGGGGGGAGAAGGAAGGGAAAAGGAAAAAAAATAATGGAGAGGAAAAAATGGAAATAAAGCTTTTGTAAATGGGTAGGGGAAGAAGAGTTGAAGGGAGGGAGGGGAGGGGCATGGGAAAAAAGAATTAAAATACATTATGTTCAGGTACAAATTCCCTATGATGAATGTGATCAATATGTATGATAAATATTAATAAATAATAAAGTTTAAAAAAGAAAAATAAATAAATTTGGAAAGACTCAAAAGCCAAGAAAGAGGGGGGTGGGGGAGAGGGAGGGAGAAGATAAAATGGAAACAAAGTTTTGTAAAGAGGGAGGAGAAGGAGGCCAGGGATTTAGCTCAGCAGTTGGTGGCCTGCCTTGTAAGCGCAAGGACCTGAGTTCAATCCCCAGTATCAAAAAAAAAAAAAAAAAAAAAAAAAAAAAAAAAAAGAGGGAGGAGAAGAAAAGTTGAAGGGAGAGGAGGAGAGTGGGGAAAAAAGAACTAAGATATATTATGTACAGGTCCAATTCCCCATGATTAATGTGATCATGGTGTACAGCAAATATGTATAATAAAAAAGTCCAACCAATATTACAAATGAATAAAAGATACATTTGAATCATATAAATTTTCTGGTATTGTCTTCCATGGGGACCAACAAAACATTTTAGTTCTAGAGTTAGCACAATTTTCACATAATGAATACAAGCTCTCTCTCTCTCCATTATTTAGTTTTAGGGAATCCAAAAAACTGAGATAGTAATTACACTGTCGGGCTTTCTTGGCCACTTTCTTAGTGCAATGACTATAAGTGTCTCTCTACCCTGTCTTTCCCAAGCTAGGAATGCTGGCCTGTCCCCTCCAGTTCCCCTTCTTTCCACAAAAGCAGATAGGGTGGTACCATACCATAATGGTGAAGAGGCTGAGTAAAAAGCTGGCCAGGAAAATGGTGATACCATAAAAATAAAGTGTGCTGCAGACAGACATGTTGGCAGAAGGCAAGAGTTCTGCCATGGCTGATGGTGGTGAGTGCATCAGGATACACCTAGGAAGAGAATCAATGCACAAAGTAACACTACAGATGTAAGACAGGAGACACTCAGTACAATGCAAATTTATGAACAATTATACTTAAAATTCTGCTAACTCTTCCTATAACATTTTTGTTCCTTCCCATAGATACAGTATCGTCTCCTTTTATGTTATATTATTTTGTATTTTTAGCTTTCACTACATCTTTTTCTGTACCCATTTCTAATACAAGCAACTTGGCCACTTAGTGTACAGCAAGTCTTTTTCCAGCCCTATTCCACCCCGGGTAACAATGTAGGATGAAAATGATTGATTTGGTTCTTCCTTACCTGTGACTCTGGCTGAAGTTATGGAAACATTCACTAGCATTGCCCAGACAGAAAACAGGTATCATCAATAGTAGAGGTACCAGGCTGGGGGAAAAATATTATCTTAATAAACAGAATTTTTCATGCCTTCCCCCATTTGTAAAATATTCCCTCCCTCCCCAACTGCATCACCCCACCAATCTCAACAAATATCTACACATTTACTTTTTCAAGAAAAATATCTTGAATGCTGAGGTATCCTTATTTTCCAGTTCCTATGAAAATGCTGTGGGAACTGAATTTTGTACCTAGATTAATGAACTCTTTAACAGTTTCACAGAGAATTTGGTATTGTATGGTCAGATAAAAATCTAAGTGGATCAAAGCGAAAGGAAAATCCACCACGGAGTTCTGTGTGCATTATGTCTCACTTTCACACTGCACTGCGTGCAGTATGTCTCACTTTGCCAGGAATAACTTCATTCTCATATGCCGTTGCCTACGTGCTTTTCCAAAGCATACCTTCACAAAGTCAGCTATTTACACAGCTTAATATAGCCAACTTCCTGTATGAGGAGATTTAGGAGCAAAATTTACAAAATCTAAAACCATCCAGATGCAATCACCACTTTAGGTGAGATTCAGACCCTTTCAGGGTTTTATAGTCCTAAGAGTCACCCAATGTTATAAAGTGGGTAAGATCTTGAAGGCTATCTATTACACATCTTTCTGATATAATAAAATAAATTAGAGGTTCAAAATCTTACTAATCTATAATATCAAACTGCTTTCCTAGTCCACGTAGGAAGACAGAATCAACGATCCATATTTGTTGCTTCCTACTCAGTAAGACTCCGTGAGGACTTAGGAATGACAACAGAAATAAAGACCACTGAATTATTTGTTCCCATTTGGACACCAGAATAATCAGAGACTGTATCATATTTGGAAGGAAAGAAAAAAATATTTTTTAAAGGAAAACCTTTACTGGTATGTTTTATATACACACACATACATACACATATACATATAGTGGTAACATTCATCATAGGGAATTTGTATGTGTATATAATATATCTTCTTTCTTTTTCCCCATCCTCCCTCTCCTTCAACCCCTCTTCCCCTCCTGGAAAGAAAAAAATCTTACCTTGATAAAATGAAGGCCATCTGGCCAACTTGACAAGTATAATCCACCACCTATGAAAATAATGAGAAAAATGTCTTAAACATTGTCAATCACAATAAGTAAATACTAGATCTTCATCATTCAACAGAACAAAAATTATTTCCAAGAACCAATTTGCTTTTGGCAAACAATTTTTGCTATAAAATTTATGAAGTAGACAGTTATTTAGTACTGGAGTTGATAAAATTGTATCTGTATTACTATGCTCTAAACTGTACAATAAAAAAGCCAAAAAAGATACCCGGGCGTGGTGGCACATGCCTGTAATCCCAGCACTTGGGAGGCTGAGGCAGGAGGATCGCTCTGAGTTCGAGATCAGCCTGAGCTACATAGTGAGTTCCAGGTCAGTCTCAACTACATAGTGAGACCCTGTCTCAAAAAACCAAAAAAAAAAAGAAAAAAAGCATACCCTGTAGGAAGTAATTTAATATAAAATTTGAGTACCTGTAAAAATTGTCTTAGGGGAAAGGCAAATATGAAATCACAAATTAACCCTTTTAAAACTTAATTGTTTTAATAACAATTTAGTCCTTAGTATATTTAGTTCTTAGTATATGTAGCCACAAAGGCAGAATAATAAGTATTGGGGTTAATATTTGGAAGAGAGCTATGCTAACCACTATACCACCAGTGCTGGGATTAATATTTAAAGTTAGACCTTGTCTCTTTGAAACTAGTGATGGGTTTTTAAAAAATACAATATACGTGTTTGTATGCACAGAAAGCAGAATTACCATATGTGAAAGGTAATCTTATGTTTCTCCCAATTTATCCTTCAAAGATGAATTTATGGGCCGGGGATTTAGCTCAGTGGTTCAGTGGCCTGCCTTGCAAGCGCAAGGACCCGAGTTGTTAGACCTTGTCTCTTTGAAACTAGTGATGGGTTTTTAAAAAATACAATATACGTGTTTGTATGCACAGAAAGCAGAATTACCATATGTGAAAGGTAATCTTATGTTTCTCCCAATTTATCCTTCAAAGATGAATTTATGGGCCGGGGATTTAGCTCAGTGGTTCAGTGGCCTGCCTTGCAAGCGCAAGGACCCGAGTTCAATCCCCGCGGTACTCCATTCTTTACTCGTTTCATCACAGCAACTTCTTGAGGGAATGATTCTGTGGCTGAATTTCTCAAAATGTCTCATGCCTGTAATTGCAGTACTCCAGAACACCAGGGCAGGAAAACTAAGTTGGAGTTCTGCATGAACACCTTATTGACTTAGCAAGACCCTGTCTCAAAAATTTTAAAATATGTAAAAAGTTCTGGTGAGGTAGTTTGGTGCAAAAGCTCTGGATTAAATCCCAGTACAAAAGAAAATACTAATTCAAGTTCGTCCCTTGGCTTTTGAATGGGTGAATGAATAAAATGTGAAGTAATAACCCTACGCTATTGAACTTCTTAGGCATTCATCTTCCTAAAAGAAGGAAAATGAACTAATTGTTTCTTTGTAATATCATCAATTCTAGGATTCTTCAGACAAGTATGTAAAATAATGCTATGTAGCCATGGATCCTTACTCTCTTGTAGGCAACACAGAAACCATGTAAATTTAAGATATGCAAGAGTAGGGCTAGGGATTTAGCTCAGTGGAGCTGCCACTTGCCTTGAAAGCACAAGGACAAGAGTTCAATCCCTGGTACAAAAAAAAAAAAAAAA